ATCAACCCACATAAAATACAAACATATTTTAATTAACACTCAATTTTTAACTAACACTTCATGACCACCGGGAGAGCTCCAAAGACAGAAAAACTAGAGCTCGTGCACACTGACTTATGGGGGCCAGCACCGGTGACATCTCTTGGAGGATCGATGTACTACATGACGTTCGTCGATGACTGCACAAGAAAGGTATGGGTGTACTTTCTAAAAAGAAAATCCGAAGCCTTTGATACTTCTAGGAGATGAAGAGCACTCGTGGAGAAAGAGACAGGTCTGGAAGTGAAATGTCTCAGATCCGACAACGGTGACGAGTACAACAGTGAAGCCATCACGGAATACTGCGGTGATCATGGGATCCGGATGCAGAAGACGGTCCCAGAGACACCTCAGCAAAATGGCATTGCGGAGAGGATGAACAGGACACTGAATGAGCGTGCGAGATGCATGCGATTTAAGAGTGGACTACCCAAGATGTTTTGGGCAGAAGCAGTCAGCACGGCCTCTTTCTTGATCAACCGGGGGCCTTCTGTCCCACTGAACAACAAAATTCCAGAATAGGTCTGGAGTGGTAAGGAAGTTGATCTCTCTTTCTTACGTACCTTTGGTTGTTTGGCTTACGTTTTGAACGACGACCGGACAAAGCTGGATGCTAAGTCCGTCAAATGTACATTCATTGGATATGGGACTAACGAATTTGGGTATAGATATTGGGATGATCAAAATCGGAAAATTATTCGCAGTCGTAATGTGGTGTTCAATGAAGGCATAATGTACAAGGACAGGAAGGAATACCCGGACGATGACAAGACTATGCAGGAGTATGTTGGTCTCGATATTTCAAATACTAGAATCATGAGACCAACGGATTCAGTGGGAGCTCAGATAGATAAGATCGAGTGTACAGAAGAAGAGGCAGAACCAGAATCGGATGAACCGATTGCTGAGAGCAGCACGCCTCTGGCACTGGGCCGAGAACCGAGGATGAGAAGGGCCCCGGATAGGTACTCCCCTTCTCTTTATTATCTACTTTTATCTGATTCTAGGGAACCCGACTGTTATGCAGAGGCAGTTAAAGATGCCCACAAGAGCAAGTGGGAGCTTGCGATGGACGACGAGATGAACTCATTGAAGAATAACCACACATGGGATTTGTGTGATCTCCCACAAGGAAAGAAGGCGCTACAAAACAGTTACTTGGGCCAACTTTTCTTTTGCTATTTACAATATTGTGTAGTTTTATCATCCTTATTATTTATTTTA